ACTTGAAGAAACCCTAAACCCTAAACCCGATTAACCCTAAACGAGCTCTGTTGGTCATCGGCATTGCATCGAGAAGATTCAGTCTGAAGTGCTAGAAAGCCACGAAGGCTTGACATGGTTCTTTTCAACACACAGACGAGTCTGTGCGCACATTCTGTATCTATATTAAAAATATTATTTATATACATATGAACATATCTATATATAGAAATATATATATATATATACTTGTGTATGTATTTGTAAGCGGTTCATCAAAGACAAACACATTAATAAGCATAAATCTAGGTATCAAGAAAGAAACACATGAATATAATCTAAATATCAGCATAAATACAAATATCATCACACACACATCAACATGAACGTGAAACTGAATGTACATCGTAATACAAACGCGCGAAGACATACATAAGTACATACGTAAAGATGTATACATATATATATATATATAGATATATACGTGTATATATATATATATATGTATATATATATATACACAGTATTACATTACGTTTATACATGCATCTGAATATGTACATATGGAGCCTACGTACATGCTGAGGGCATAGGTTTCAGATCTCAAGCTCTGAGTACAGGGCATCCTGCTTCAGACGACTAAGCTCCCAAAGGCTTAACGATGCAAAATCGAGCGAAGCACTCCAAAGCCTTTTTCTCGAGCGGCCCAAACCCTCCTCAACCCTACCTGAGAGGGTCCATGTAGACTGCCATTATGGAATTCTAGGTTCCAAAGCACCATCCCAGAAATGTTTTTGGGAAACCTAATGGACCCGCTCGGTACCCCTTTCGGACCCGCATTTCAAAGCGCCGCGAAGCCAACACCACATGCCGGAGCGGTCCTCTAGCACTGCAGCCAAAGCGCTGTGCAGGAGATTGGGAGGAAAAAGAGCCCGTGACCCGAAAGAGAAAAACGCAAAGCTGCTGTTTGTCACTGTACTTTGAATGGTTACAGCTCGACACCCGAATCCCGGGGTCAGCTGTTTTAGCTATTGTTATCAATGTAATGCAAGCTTCGAGGTTTCGAAGTTTTGAGTCTATGACGACCAGGGCTGGTAGGGTATTCCGAGTTGTTTCTCCCTTTTGTAGGCCAACCATAAGAAATCACTAGAGATTCTAGCATAAACCCCTAAACCCTAAACCGTAAACCCTAAAACCTAAACCAGGAACCCTAAACCCTAGCATTTATAAAGGGTACCAAGCTTATGGCCCGACTCCCAAACCTGTCCCCAAACCCTAGGTTTAGGGTTTAGGGTTTAGGGTTTAGGGTTTAGGGTTTAGGGTTTATAGTTTATAGGGTTTAGGGGTTGGGGTTTATAAGGTTTAGGGGTTGGGGTTTATAGGGTTTAGGGGTTTAGGGTTTAGGGTTTAGTTTTAGGGTTTAGGGATTTAGGGTTTGGGGTGTAGGGGTTTAGGGTTTAGGGTTTAGGAAGCTCTAAACCTCTAAACCCCCTTATATAGGGGCCTTGATAATTAGAATAGGGTTTTGTGGCTTCCTTTCAAGGGCTCCTTAAAGGGTTCCATAAGGGCTACTATAAGGGCTTCGGGTGTAGGGGCCTTGATAATTAGAATAGGGTTTTGGGGTAGTCTTCTTTTCTGTATACCCATGACTGGGAACCCCCTCCTATAGGCCTGCTGCTAGGGGGCTCTTGTACCTACTATAAGGCATTTATGAAGAATCCCTCTAGAATGTATGGAAACTAGGTGCGCCGCCCCTAGAACCTAAAGCACAAAACCCAGAAAACCATGTTTAAAACGGAGCAACCTGAAACCCTAAACCCTAGACCCTAATGTCTAAATCCTAAACTCTAGACCTAACACCCTGAAACCCTAAACCCTAAACCTTATAAGCTCTAAACCTAACACCCTGAAACCCTAAACCTTATGAGCTCTAGACCTAACACCCTGACAAAAACCCTAAACCCTCAACCCTAAACACCATCCCCGCCGCCTTGCCAAGCCAGCTTGGCCCGTTGGCCAACCAGGACAAGCCGCCAGGCAGCTCCCCCGGTGTCGCAAGTGCATCCTCGGATTTGGGGTTTAGGGTTTAGGGTTTAGGGGTTTAGGGTTTCGGGTTTAGGGTTTAGGGGTGCATCCTCGGATTTGAGTATAGGGTTTCGGGTTTAGGATCCTTAAAATAAGGATCCTAAGGGTCCCCTATTATCGGAAACCTCCATGGGCCACGGCTTCTCCGGAAGAGTTGGCCCTGACAAGCTGTTTCAACATCTTACTTGGAGGATCATGGGACTTAGTAACTAGGGTTAAAAATACGGTAACTATAATTGTAGCCCCAATTAGGGTACTTATAACCTTACTTACTAAGTCCCATGATCCTCCAAGTAAGGTATCCTCATCCTGTACTTCTCACCAGCCGCCAGATCTTTACCGTCCATAACCAAGACCCCCGGAAGGATCTAGAAAGTAGATCCCCTAGTTTGGGACCCTCTACTACTAGGGGGTACTTTATAGGAACCTCCTCAAGGGATCTACTTTCTAGATCCTCCCGGGGGTCTGGGAATAAGGTCTAAGAGTCTAGGATACCTCGCCCAGCAGGGGTTGCCTCCAACCATGGGATCGACGCCGAGATGTGAAGACTCTGACGACAACGAGTGAGTGCAACAAGAGCTCTTTCCCAAAGGGTCCAAGTACCCATTGTTTATGGACTTTGGGGCCTTTCTGGGTACCTAAAACCATAAAGAAGGACTACTTGGACCCTCAGGGTTTGAGGTTGGGAAACAAAACGGCAGGGGCAAATCTCGTAACCAACTCTCCATGTGCCTGCGGCAGTGCTTTTGTTGAAGCTAAACGGCTATATAGGCTGATAACCCTTAACTTCCCTAAACCCTAAACCTTTACCCTAAACCCTATTAGGGCATTGGGGTTGAGGTTGGCGGTTGATACCTTTCGTAGGAACCTGACTAATGTCGGGGCCTTAATGATGAGAATAGGGTTTTGGGGGGGTTCTTTGTTAAAAGTATAGTATACTATACCCCCCAAATCAAATTCTAATTATTAAGGCCCCTAGACTACGAAACCTTGTGGGCTCTGTATACGGACGCTACTACTTTGGGGGTTGTAAGACCAGGGTTTCTTCATCAGCTTCCTTCAGTATTGTGGGGTTTAGGGTTTAGGGTTTAAGGTTTGGGTTTAGGGTTTATAAGGTTTGGGGTTTGGGGCTTAGGGTTTAGGGTTTGGGGTTAAGGGACAGTGTCGCTTTAACACTAGCGTCTGGCATCTCCCGAACATGCCGCGCAACAAACGAAGAGCGTCACCCTTTCAAACGTCAAACTTGTTGCGTGTAGGTTCCCACTCAGAGCACTCAGAGCACTGTGTGAGTTTCAGAAGTCGGGGGCCCCAACCCAGTGCATAGAACCCTGAATCGTGGGATTCTCCACGGCATTGAACAGGACACCCGTTTATTTCCGATCACCTACTGAGAAGAAACAAACTCCGGAACACCCCAAAAATGGACCTTGCAAACGTCCAACAACATCGGAACCACATCGAAGCTCCGGGAAACACCCCCGCCCGCCCCAACAGAGACACACAAGACATACAAGCTCTACATCAACTCTGTCTTCGGAGTTTTAGGGTTCAGGGTTTAGGGCTTAGGAATATCCGGGTGTATATGGTCAAGCACAGACTTCCGGCCCTGAGCACAAGCGGCCTTCAAGCGGCTCGTAGGTTTGGTTTTGTTTTTAGGGTTTAGGGTTTCGGGTTTAGGGGCTCTTAAGTTTGGGGTTTAGGGTTTAGGGGCTCTTAAGTTTAGGGTTATAGGGTTTAGAGGCTCTTAAGTTTAGGGTTTAGGGTTTAGGCTTTTGGAGGCTACGTGTAAGGAGTTGCCAGTGCTCATCATCCAGAAAACTGCCTCCCAAAAAAGCCCTACAGTCCGACAGCCCAACCCATAAAGCCCAAACCCTGAATGGGAGCTAGGATTAGAGGGACCCTGGGGGATATAGACCCTCTCAATCAGGTCCCTTTTCAGAAGGGGTACCCCTTAAGGGGTACCCCTAATAAGACTACCTACCGAACTGCACCGCTGAAGATCAGTCAGGAAGCGGATATCAACTGCGAAGATCTGAGGCCCTCCGTTCGCGGGCCGTTGCTTTTAGGCTTGACCGTGCTGCAAGGTCTAGGTACCCCTAGGCTCCATTGCAGTTCCTTTTGGTGGTTTATATTTAGCACCCTACAAGGTAATCCCCCAAAAGGAACTACAATGGAGCCTGGGGGTACTTTGACAGGTATAGAACTTGCCGGCTTAAGGCTTTAGGAATTCTAGTTGCTTGCGGCTTCCGGGTTGAAGCACCTGGGACCCCAACATACAAGACACGCTGCGACTAGCAGGAAGTATGCCGAGACGCCCCTGCATTTTGGGCCGTTTGTAGGGGCCCTCTACTCAATGGCCGAGGACGATCCTGCGCACAACGCAAACAGAAAGTCTTTTTCGAGGAAGGTGGAGCTTCTGGAAAAATGCCGTGCCGAAGAATGGGCACACTATCCCTAAGGGTCCATGTGCCCAAATAGGGGTTCCTTTAAGGGTTCCTTTTCGGGTACCATAATAGGTTTCGATAAGGGATCTATAAGGTTTACATAGGGTAAAAGGGTCCATGTGCCCGGATAGTATATACTTTGGCCTTAATGTAGTCCCTATGTGGGTACTTTAGGGCCAATGTATATACCATTTCGGTACATGGACCCTTGGGGTATCTGCACTAGCTCACCCACTGCAACAGGATCCTCTGATAGCTGAGGCGGCTGAACATGTGTCTTAGTTCCAGCACATGCTTTGAGGGTTGAGGTTGCTTATGACTTTTCTTTGGGACTGACCCCCAACAGGTGTGCGTTGCCGGATGAAGGACTATGGGATGAAGGCATCAGGAGCGAACTTTCAGAAAACCCTAAACCCTAAACCCAAAACCCTACACCCTAAACCCCAACCTCAGCCCTTGGGCTTTGGAACGCCAGAGCCCGCAGGAAAGCGCCTGTGCCAGCACAGCAGCATCAGCTCGCTTCCTTCGCTGCACACAAGGCTTGGGGAGCCCCAGCACGCACAAGCACGAGCGCGAGTAAGCGCCCTGATTCGGGTAGCACGTCAGGGTTGGCTTTCCACCTACTCTAAACCCTAAGCTTTAAACCCTAAAACCCTAAACCCTAAACCCTAAAAGCCTAATTAAACCCTAAACCCTAACCCAGAGCCACAGTTGGCCATCAAGTAGTTGACCGTCCGACGAAAGCAGGCCCCACAGCCCCAATGTCCCAACAACTCGAACTTCTTATGCGTTCACATTTGAGCTTAAGTGCCCTCAGAACCAAAATAACAACTATAGTTGTTAATGAGCCCTTGCAATGGAGCTTTATGACGATAACACCGTCAAACTATTCTGCTTTTAAGAACACTACAGGGCTGGAGGAAAAGCAATGCAGACCACCATAGAGGAAAAAACAAAGGAAGCTTTGTGGACCCTAAACCCTAAACCCTAAACCCTAAACCCTAGACCCTAAACCCTAAACCCTAAACCCTAAACCCTAAACCCTGACCCTAGACCCTGCAAGGCCACACACCCCAAAAAACTTGCGTCCAAAAGTCCGAGCTTGAATCCACAACGAGCCCTGCCTAGACCCCCAAAGAGCCTACCTTTTCGGTTTAGGATTTAGGGTTTAGGGTTTAGGGTTTAGAGTTTAGGGTTTAGGGTTTAGGGTTTAGGGTTTAGGGTTTAGGGTTTAGGGGGACTTGTAAAGGGAAATCATAATAATAAGGAACCCCCAAGAAGGGAGGTTCTTAAGGGTCCAGGTAAGCCACAAGCGGCTGGGCTGGGAAGACTTGGGTCTGAGGTCAGAGATTTGTGACTGTGGTTTAGGGTTTAGGGTTTAGGGTTTAGGGTTTAGGGTTTCGGGGTGAGCGGTTTTAGAACTTGTTGTCGGGCTTAGGACTCAAACCTAAACCCTAAACTCTAAACCCTAAACCCCTAAACCCTAAACCTACATGTGGGATACTTGCCCAAATTTCACTAGTAGTTTATAGAAACCCTACATTCTACCATCTACGTGAGTAGGACCCTCTGGAGAAGTTGAGAGGTTGAGGTCGACGGGCTAAGGTAGAAACCTGGTTAAGAAACCCTGGCCCTGTAACCCCAAAATATTAGGATTCATATAAAGAATACAGAACCCTAATACCGGCCCGATAACCCTAAAGTTTTAGGACTCATATGAAGAATAAAGAACCCTAATACAGGCCCTGTAACCCTAAACCCCTAAATATCAGGGCAAAGGGGTTCTTAAGGAGGTTCCTACATTTAGGGGAAGTTGCAGACAAGCCGCAGCCGCTGCAGTGACTCCGACAGGGCCTGGCATCAGCCGCTGTTCTAATTAGAGTGCCGGCTTTACTGTGTATATATAGGAAGGTTTAGGGTTTAGGGGTTTAGGGTATATATAGGAGGGGTTTAAGATTTAGGGGGTTTCGGGTTTTGGGATTAAGGGATCAAAGGGTTTAGGGCAGAGGGGCAGACGCACTGCCTCATTCCACCACAACCAAAGAGCCCCTAAACCCTGAATCCCCTGAACCCTCAGCACTAAACCCTAAACCCTCAACCAGCCTATCACACCTGCGGCTGCCGAAAGCCTCAAGCAAGCAATAGGCCTGAAGCCAGAAGGCCAATATAGCCGTAAACTCCCGAGATTCCGAGATCCTACGTCCTTAACTAGACTGTAGGGCTTTAGGGCTTTTGGGTTTAGGGGTTTAGGGCTTTAGGGGTTTCGGGTTTAGGGTTTTCGGGTTCAGGGTTACGGGAACCCGTCTTTATTCACCCCACTAAGGCAGATCAACACCGTCCTAAACCGATTTACCCATAGGCCCTGAAGTAGTTCCTTTTTGGGGTTCATATATAGAATCCTGTAAGGTAATCCCTGCCTAAACCCTAAACCCTAAACCCTAAACCCTAAACCCTAAACCCTAAACCCTAAACCCTAATCCTATAAGGTAATCCCAAAAAGGAACTACTATGGGGCCTATGGGTAGGCCCAGCCTCGGCCACGGGGTGATCGGCAGCCAGACCCGGCAGGGCCTCTGGATGGCCGTCCACTGGGTTTGGGTGTCGCTGACAAGTTTACAAAGGGAGTTCGAAGCCTGACTGGGCTGGGTTTAGGGTTTAGGGTCTAGGGTCTAGGGTCTAGGGTCTAGGGTTTTGGGTTTAGGGTTTAGGGTTTAGGGTGTAGGGGGTCTGGGGTTTAGGGTTTACCTTAAGAACCCAAAAGCCACTTTTGTAGGTTCTTATTGTAAACCCTAATATGGGGATTTATAGGGACCCTACAAAAAAGTAGGTTTTGGGTTCTTAAGGTAGGGGATTGCATTTGAGCATTGTCAGCCTGAGGATGGATCGTTGTTGTTGGCTTCAACCCTAAGCCCTAAATATAAATCTTACCTAGACCCCAAAGAACCTACCTTCTTAAGGTCTGAAACAAGGAAATCATAATAAGGAATCCTAAAAAAAAGGCAGGTTTTTTCGGAGGTTCAGGTCAGGCTTCAAGAAACGGGGTTTCGGATTGAGGCTTTGGGGTTTCAAGGGCTTGCCACGACTATGGTATTGGGCCTGCATAGTTCGAGTCCCTAAAACTACGATCCTAAACTAAAGAACAGTAAGGCACATACCCTAAGGGTCCATGTACTCATATAGTATATACATTGGCCTTAATGTAGTTCTTATTTAGGTACTTTACGGTCAATGTACATACTATATGGGTACATGGACCCTTGGGGATACTTCTCAGTCATCAGAGCTCTCTCCCATGCATGGTTTCATTGGCATTCCTGCCCATGAGCACTTGAGCCGCCGAAGACTTTCGCTCCGAGAACCTAGACACTAGGCCTCGGGACATGAGGCGTTACGATGTCCGTGTCGCTCTGGCATGGCTTTCCCTTAAGGGTCCATGTACCCAAATAGTACATACATAGGCCGTAAAGTAGTCCCTATATAGGTACTTTGGGGCCAAAGGGCACCTGGACCCTTAGGCTTTAGGTGCACTTGGAGCCGTTTTGCTGCTCTGGCCTGCTCCACCTCCTCGTAGAGCTGCGCATGCCGGAGGAGACGCATGTCCTGCGAAAAGAGCCCGTGCGTTTCATGACACCCGTCAGGGATAGTTACGCATAAATCCTGATATGCTGTGCCCTTATCTCATCATTCATAGTTCACCCGATAAGACTTGAGGCCTATACTTTAGGATTGGGGCTGAGGCCTTCGAGCTTGGCTTAGAGTTTTGTCGTACCTCGTCATGAGACCGGAAACTGCCTAAGTCTTAACCTGCCATCCGCGAAATCCTAAAGTCAAGCCTTCGGCCACACAGACGCCTTTGATACAACCCACCGCCAGCTTCTGAGATTCTCAAACCAGATAGGTTTATGAGGGGAAATCAGATAAGACATCTTAATACTCAAAACACCTTGTAAAGACCTCAGAAGGAACATCGCTTGAAGAGGCAACAGCAATCCTCTGCCACCTTCGCCAAGGCTGTCCAAAAGCTCTGCCCACGCAGCCGGAGGGCGCGTTGCTGAGCGGCAAGGGACAAGGGATGAGTGTATTTCGGGGTTGAACCGCCCGACGTGTTAAAAATATACCGGCGGCCACTTAAAGCCCAAAGCCTTTCAATTCTAAGCACCTCGGCCAAATAAAGCCCAACACCGGCTTAGCTTGTATGCCTGCTTTTCCGAGGGGGGTGTCGGGATATCGGTTTAAGGACTGTCTGTATGTCTTTTTGTTGCCCTGCGTTGCTTTGCAAAGATGTGGACCCTAAACCCTAAACCCTACACCCTAAACCGTGTGGCAGATCGTCCATGTACCCCAATAGGGGTTCCTTTAAGGGTTCCTTTAAGGGTATATACCATAATAGGTTTCTATAAGGGATCTATAAGGTTTAGGGTATAAGGGTCTATGTACCCAGATAGTATATATTTTGGCCTTAAAATAGTCCCCATATAGATACTTTGGGGCCGAAGGATATACCATCTGGGCACATGGACCCTTGGGGTTAATAATTAGAATAGGGTTTTGGGGGTTCCTTATTATAATAGTAGTATAAGATATCCCAAACCCTATTCTAGTTATTCAGGCCCCTGTAATACCTAAACACATACCCTCGTAGCCGTTGTTGTCCAGGTTAGCCCAATTAAGGCAGGGTATTCAGAACTCGTAGCATAAACCTGAATCCAGACGAACTGATAAATTGCACAAAAAAATACGACCCCCCTGGCATTACTCCCGAGTTCAGACGTAGCCCTACTTAAGGGCTCAAGGGACGTAGTAAGTAGGGTTATAACTGGGGTTGGAGGCACCCGAAGTAAAATCGGTCCCATGAGCCTCCAAGTAGGGTTTGGGGGGTTAGTCTTCAAGCCCGGCTCGGACACCTCAGGTAGGGTGTAGGGTTTAGGATTTAGGGTTTAGGGTTTAGGGTTTAAGGTTTAGGATTTAGGGTTTAGGGTTTCGGGTTTAGGGGACTCGGACACCCCAAGTACCCCTTGTGTCATACTCCTCATGAAAAGGTAAAAAAAGCGACAATAACTGTCAGTTGAAGGGTCTAGCTGCACACTGACCCAAAGAGTCCTAAGTACCTATATGGGGGATACTTGCCCAAACCATGATGGTAAGATAGTAATTCACTATAAAACCCAGCATTCTACCAAAAAACGTGCTTAGGACCCTTTGGGTGAAGCTGCAAACCCAGCCCAAACCAACCCTTCAAGTTCAATGGCCCAAACCTCGAGCCCTAAACCCTAAACCAAAACCCCAAATCCGGGTTTAGGGTTTAGGGTTTAGGGTTTATAAACCAAAACCCCAAATCCTAAACTTATCCAGAGGGTCCATATACACTACCATTATGGAATTAGGTCCCAAAAGACCATCCCTATTATGGTTTTGGGGACGTAGTTCCATAATAGTAGTATATATGGACCCTCTTGGTTATAGCACCCTTCATAGCACCTAACGTATAGTAGCCCTGAAGGCCTAAACCCAAGGCCCCACTCACTCTCCCTACAAGGTCATACCCCTAAGCCCGACCCCTCTTGGAAGGGCACCGGCTCGTCGAATGTAAGATGTCCTAACCATAAAGCTACTGTAAACTACCACCACAACCTACTGTTTTGTAGGTGCGTAAGATATTATAAACCCAAATATGAACTTGAAATTTGCCCCTGCACAACAGACAGTTTTGGTAGTCTAAGACTTAAGGCAGCCCGAACAAAGGCCCAAAAAGCCCAGTACCCCCTAATTAAGGAATATACCTAAAATCATAAGATTAAGGCCCCCTTTAGTTAAGGCTTTCAGGTATATTCCTTATTGAAGGAGGGAATAATTTAAGGCTTTAAGGCATATTCCTTATTGAAGGGGTCTTGGGCTCTCTGGGGGTCCTGGGTCCCACCCCAGAGGTCGATGCCGGCCTGGTCGGCTTCTGGTGCAACCAAGTCGCTGATGACTTCCTGGAACTTGAAGTTTAGGGTTTAGCGTTTAGGGCTTAGGGTTTAGGGTTTAAGGTTTAGGGTTTAGGGTTTAAGGTTTAGAGAGTTTGGCTCTCGGGGTGATTTGGGATTTATAGAGTCTCGGGGTTTGCGGCCTAGGGTTGCAGCGTCTGGGAACGGCAAGGACGAACGCCGTGAGGCTGGCAAAGGTTTGGGTCTGCGGCTGTGCAAGCTGGAGTTCGTTCCTCTTCCAGCCACTGATCAGGGTGCCAAATATGGTCCGGTAAGACCTCATGTAAACCGCACATTTTCACAGACTCTACACGGGGTCCAAAAGAATTAACCTCGTGCGAACCCCGGCAGCACCACAATGGCCCCAAGTAGAAAAAAGCTACCACAACCTGTCAGCACCACTGGACTCTCAACTCCTAACGTTCTTAACATCTATCTCCTCAAGTCACCTTATTGTTCAACAGACATGAGAACCCACATAACTACTCTAAAGAAGCCTCATACGATTCCATGCAAGCTTTTTTAACCCATAACCCCCATAAGCCCCTAAACCCTAAAGCCTAAACCCCTAAATCCTAAAGCCTAAACCCCTAAAACCCTAAACCCCTAAACCCCAAAACCCCTAAACCCCTAAACCCCTAAACCCTACTATACAACTTCATAACTGCTGTTGCCTCTCTAAACAACTCTGGGCCAGGATCCGAAGCAGAGGTGAGACCGAGGAAAAGCATCGCCACCGCACCTCGCTGAGGCGTTTAGAGTTCCAGGGTTGAGGCGTTTAGGACTCAGGAGAGTTCAGGATTTATAGGGTCCAGGGTTCAGGGGTTTAGGGTTCAGGGTTTTAGGGTTCAGGGTTTTAGGGTTTTAGGGTTCAGGGTTCAGGGGTTTTAGGGTTCAGGGGTTTTAGGGTTTAGGGTTTAGGGTTTACGAGTTCAGGGTCTAGGGTGGCTTTGGAAATCCCCGCAGAAAGGAGCTTACAATATTAAGCCGAATAGTTAGACAAAACAGGGATTGTATGTGGGGTCCCTATATACTCTATATTGGGTTTCATGAAATGGCAAGGATCTACAATTCAGTAGGTTATGGCCATTGTCGTTTAAGTGTACAGTGTATATACTTGCGTTACGGGCACCCAAATAAGATTCGACTTTGGGTTCAGAACGTCCCTGACGCTATGCTCTGATCAGCATTGTGGCTTCTGACACCCTTAACCTAAGGGTCCAAGTACCTAATANNAATCATATACTCTCCCTAATATTAAGCTAGAAAACTACTATCCGCAACCAAAGTACCTTATTATTGGGTCCTTTGGACCCTTAGGGTCAACCTTCATCAGCCCCAAAAAATGTGCAGATTCCGACGCCCTGCGCATCAAAAAAGACGTTGTTAAAGTAGGGTTTGAACCTGGGGGATTTCACATGATTGAGGTTTAGGGTTTAAGGGTTTAGGGTTTGGGGGTTTAGGGTTTGGGGGTTTAGGGTTTAGGGTTTAGTTATGGCCCTATAGACGATCGAAAGCTGAGCAAAGCCTGAATAGCATCGCTTGACATAGTGATAGCCCTAAACCCTAAACCCTAAACCGTAAACCCTAAACCCTAAACCCTAAACCCTAAACCCTGCTTGTCTTGACGTCATGTCCTTGCCTCGGCCCTGTCTGGTCAAGGGGCATGCAGATCTTACACTCGGCATAACCACATAACTCATTTGCCTGGTGCTTAGTAGGGAATGGAGGAATGGATCCCTATGATAGTCCCTTAAGGTCCCTTATAGTAGTCCCTGTAACCCATTCCCCCATTCCCTACTAACCACAGAACTCATTTCTGCCCCGCTGGTGTCCCTAAACCCCACAGGAAACCCTAGAGCTCTAAACCCTGAACCCCAAGTAATTGAGCTTCAGAAACCACATGGGTCCCAGTGTCACAACTTAGTGTTCGAGAGTCTTTTGGTTGCCTGATTCGGTTTAGGGTTTGGGGTTTGGACAGTTTGGACTAGCATTGATGTAGAGCTTGGGCTTTGGACGTAGGGATTCGGGTCTAACATAGGGGTCTTCATACAAGTAGGGTTTCGGGAAATAACTATAATAAGCAGGAATTGAGGAACCTTTGCGCGAAATAGTTGAGTACCAATTATTGAGACCTTCGCTGGTAGAACTTGCGTCCTACTAGAAGAGCCGCCTCTTACCACACAGGCCCCACCCCGCCGAAAGTAGCCGAGAAACACCTCACCAGACTCATCTTCCCATACATGGACGAGCGGTTTGTCTACAGGAAGAAGCTCAGAACGAAGGAGGTAACATGAGCCTCAATGGGGGCTGGTGAGGGATTACTTTTGCTATTTATTCTGACCCCTATGTCTTGAATGCAATGGGGGGTGGGGGGGACTACTTTTGCTGTTTATTCTGACCCATATCTCTTAAATGCTGACACCTTCGACCATGCAGTGTTAGGTTTGGGGCTTTACTGCTTGAGGGGTTTAGGGTTCAGGGGAACCCGGGTACGGGGGATCTCTGGGACCATATACCCGCTGACACTAACCGGCGAGACTTTCCGCCGGAAAAGGCTTGAGGATAAAAGGCTGCAGACACCTCTGCTGAGTTTTGGTGCCTACCCATAGGTGCGATAGTAGTTCCTTTTGGGGGTTACCTTATAGGATTCTATATAGGAACCCCCAAAAGGAACTACTTTAGCGCCTATGGGTAAACCCTAAACCCCGAAGCTTCAGGAGTTGGCACGTTTAGGGTTCTGTCTTCGCCAAGTCCCGGGCTTTTGGTGCTTCAGACGTGGCATTTTAAGATTTAGCCAGATTCAGGGTACATATATATATATATATATCTTTCTGTATATATATATATATGTATATATATATATATAGGTAGCCGTTAGATGATGAGTAAGCCTGCTTGAAAGAGCCAGGCTGTGGTTTTATGTTTCACGGGCTCAGGAGATACACGAGGCCCCCTTGCGCAAATGAACAACCAAAGCCCGAAGGGTTTAGGGTTTAGGGTTTAGGTTTTGCCGTAGCCCCCTGTAAACCTACCATTTCTGAGGGTTTCTTTCTATGAATTTCCGCTCAGAAGACCTGAAACTTGGTAGGTGATTCGAGGTTCAGGCCATAAACCCTAAACCCTAAACCCTAAACCGTAGGGTGTGCAGGGTTCAAGCTTTTGTGAAGGACTGTCGGCGCAAACCAGCCCAAAATCTGGCCTCCAGAGCCTCTCGGACTGGAACTACTGTAGGGGCCTTCATAACTAGAATAGGGTTCTGGGCTACTTTCTTGTATATTTTATAATAAGAAACCACTGGAATAGGCTTCTGGGCTACTTTATGGTATATTTTCTACTAAGAAACATCAAGGAACAATGCTGGTAATTATTTGGGCTTCTATAGTAGGCCCTCTTAAGTAGAGCCTTGAGGCAGGGTAGGTGGGGATTGTGCAGCAAAGATGCTGAGGATGCGACCCGACACCCACAAGACTCTGGGGTGATTTCTCAGTTGCTGAGCTCACGACCCCCAAAACGTGCACACTTTCGGTTCTAAAATGGATAAGATTATCTCATAAACTGTAAAATCTACTCAGTCAGCTCCCAAGATTTTGTACCCCTCAGCCCCACCGATGATTAGAACAGGCCCTTGGGCTTCGAAAGTATACCCTAAGACTCTCAAATCAGAATCCCTCAACCAAGCCCTAAACACGAACCCCAAACGCTAGAACCCTCAACCCTAAGCAACCACCATCCCGAGATTGTCCGGAGAAACTTCTGAAGCTGTCCTGGCTCCTCTCATTGGCTTTGAGGCCCACATCCGGGCGTGCATGCAACCGGAAACGCTACTGACTACGTTGCTTCGAAGGTCCTAGTCCCCGAATCTAAGGGCTTAGGGTCCTGTGTTTGGCTACCTGGATGTCATGGCGGGGGGTTTCCGGGGTTTCGGGCTTAGTAGGTTCAAAAGCTGCCTGGACTGGAAGTTTGCGCAAGGCGATGACCAGATTTAAACATCAACACGAAGCCCGCAGATACAAGCTGCAACTTGAGCGGATTTTCGCGTTCAAGGGCTTGTTAGTTATTGCCTGCTTTTCGTTCAGAGATGTCTCATGTTCGCCATGTGTGTATCACCCCGCCTGCGTCGCTGAACCTTAAACTTAAGCCCGTTACGCAAAGGCTTGATACACCGTGGTGCGAGCGGCCGTAGCGGAGATGAAGAAGCGCACAGCCTTCTGTTAAAGACATCTGCCTTGGGTCCTGAAAAAGATGAAGTTTCTCTTTGTGCCTGGACCCTGAAATTTAGATTGCTAAATCACAGTCAGGATCCCACAGCCATTGTCACACACCGAGTAGACACGTAAGAAAAAACGCGTCGCTTGCAAGCCAGAGTCCTTATTGTATACTGACCGTGGACGACGGTGATTGTCGGATAAGGTCAAATCTCGTAACGCCCAAAAAACAAACACTCTATCTCAAACCGGACATTATTGAAGCAGCCCTGATCTTCATGAAAAGATCCCAAACCCCAAACCCTAAACCCTAAACATGGGTTCCAATTACTCGTGGCAGTCTAGGTCGAAGTATGCCCTGGCCACTCCAATTCCCGAACGGGGCATCCCGAATCTCAAGCATCCCCATTCATGATTAGAACAAGGACTTCGGGTAAAACATACTATATTAGGGCTGAGGGTTTAAGGTTTAGGAGTTTAGGGTATACCTGCAGGAAATTATGGAAACGCTAATTACAAAATCATGCCCTGCACGCAGCTTCCAGGAGGGATTGGTGACCTCATTCTGCGCCTCGACCTTGACTTTCAGAGCCTCCCGAAAAGAGCTAACATGGGAAGTTTGAGGTCTCAGGATTTTGCGTTTAGGGCTTCAGGGCTATTTAGGGTTTAGGGCTATCGGGTTTTGGGGTTCAGGGTTGGGATCTTGTCAGGCTTTCGCAGTCTAGGGAGGACATGACATGAACTGAGTGCCTTAAGATTCGGTGCTGTTCCTCGTGGAAGTATATCTCAGGTCTGAACTAGCGGCCGCAGACTTTTGTGTCAAACAGACGCTCATGCACAAAACTAAACAACATACATGAATGTATACATGCATGTTCACATCAATGCATACATACACGCACCTGTCCATCCATCTATACATCCATACCATCCATTCACCCATACCCGTACATGCAGGCAGACACACACACACACA